TTTTTTTTTTTGAGACAGGGTTTTGGTGTATACTTCAGGCTGGCCATGAACTCAGTGAGCCTCCTGCCTCCAGTTTCTGAGTACTGGAATTACAGCCATGCAATAACACACCTAATTTGGTCCTTTTAAAATATATTTTGTTCATATCCCACCCCTTTATACGTCTTCCCCCTTCTCCCTATCTAATATAGTCTCTTTCCTATTTTCTTGCCATCTTTTTCAGATTTCACATATTAGGGAAAGCATGCAGATTTGCTTCTCTTTGTCTGGCTTATTTTGCTCAACATGTCTCTAGATCCACCGGTTTTCTTATGAATGACAGAATTTCATTATTTTGTGGCTGAATAATACTTCAATGTGTGTATCTAATATCTATCTATCTATCTATCTATCTATCTATCTATCTATCACTCATTTTATCGATCCACTCATCTCCTGACACACATCTAGGCTGGTTCCATACCTTGGCCATTGTGAATTGTACAACACAATAAACAGCAGTACGCAGGATTCCTACAGTATGCTGAATTTTATTCTGGGTTTACACTAAAGTATGGTAGAGCTGGATCAAATGGCTAGCAAGATAGCTCAGTGGACTAAACGCTTGTTTAGGCAAGCACAGGGACCAGGGTTCAATCCCCAGAACTACATGCCACGCTAAGCTGGCCATGCAGACCAGGCAGGCGTGGTGGCGCACACCTGTAATCCCAGCGCCAAGGAGGCTGAAAACAGGGGGCTTACTATGAGTCCAAGCTGCATAGTGAGACCTTGTACCAAATACATTTTTTTTTTTTTTAAAGGCAGCTCTGTTTCTAGTGTTTGTGAAATATCCATTATGTGGCTGTACTCATTTACAATTCACCAGCAGTGAGCAAAGGTGGTCTCCCAAATTCACCAGCATTTATTGTTTTTTTATATTCTTGATGATAGCCATTCTGATCAGGGTGAGATGAAATCTCAATGTAGTTTTGGTTTGCATATCCTGCTAGGGAATTTTTTATTTTCTTTCAAAAAATATTCATTTATTTATTTGGTATAGGGCCTCACTATGCAGCTTGGACTGGACTCATAGTGATCCTGCTGTCTCAGCTTCGCCAGTTCTGGGATTATAGGTGTGTGACACGCCTGGTTTCAGGGCGCAAGGTTCTGGGGCCAGCATAGCATGTGGTACCAGGGATTGAACCCATGTCCATGCCCTTGCCAGGCAGGTGCTTAGACCACCAAACTACCCCCCCAGCTCAGGGAATTTTTTAATCAGAAGAATTTTTTCCAACATGTATGTTTTAAAATTAGAAATCTAGATCTTCCCCTTGAAAAAACTTTGAATAAAAAATGAAACACAATGAACTGCCTGCCAAAGTGTAAAAACTTCCAGGAACTACCACCAGAATGAAGATATACAATATTTAAACTTCCAAAAAGTTTCACTATTTTCCTCTGAAGCAACATTAATTCTAGACATAAGCAAACACTGGTCTGCTTTTTGTCTCTAGAGTTTTCTCTGTTCTAGGATTTCATATACATGAACTCACACAATACACAAATATGTTCTTTCATTAGGCCTCTTCTCCTCAGGACAACGTTTTCAGGTTTATGCTTAATCTTTTTTTTTTTTTTTTTTTTTTTTTTGGCGGAACCAGGGATTGAACTCAGGCCCTTGCGCTTGCCAGGGAAGCGCTTATTCCACTGAGCCATCTCCCCGGCCCCTCAGGTTTATGCTTTGTATTAAACAGTAGTACGGTTAGTGTTCTAGCATGTGATAGATCTCAATTTATCTATCCATTCAGCTGCAGATAAATATTTATTTTTTTTCTAATTCTTATCTACAGTATTATAAATAAAATTGCTATGAACACCTAGATACAAGCCTGTGGTCACATTTTCACTTCCCTTGAGTAAAAACTGAAGACCAGAAATGATGAGTTGTGTGCATGTCTAACTTTATAAAAAGCACTTGTGGTGTTTTCCAAAGTGGTTGTACCATCTAAGATACCCAACAAAAATGCTGATAGTTCTAGATGCTGCACACCATTGCCAACAATTAATGTTGTCAGGGTTTTAAATTTTAACCATTCATACACACACGATCATGTCATCTGTTTTTTTTTTTGTTTTTTTTTTCCTTTTGGAGGAACCGGGGATTGAACTCAGGCCCTTTTGCTTGCTAGGGAAGCACTTATTCTACTGAGCCATCTCCCCAGCCCCACTTTTTTTTTCTTTGTTCTTTTTATGATCATGTCATCTGAAGACGTCATTCTTTCTTATTTTGCAGAACCAGGGATTGAACTCAGGCCCTTATGTTTGCCAAGCAAGTGCTTATTCTATTGAGCCATCTCCTCAGCCCTAGACATCATTCTTTCTGATCTTTATGTTTCTTCCTTTACTGTACGATGGAACTGGCCAGGATTCTAAGAATAGTATTAAATAGAAGTGATTCAGGAGAGGCTACCTTGCTTTGTTGGCAAAGTTGCTTGTAGGTTTTGCAAATTTGCATTTTCTCAAGCTCAGGAAGTTTCTTTTTTTCTTTGGCAGAATCAGGGATTGAACTCAGGCCCTTGCGCTTTCCAGAGAAGCGCTTATTCCACTGAGTCATCTCCCCGGCCCACAGAAGTTTCTTTCCTAGTTTGCTGGTTTTTTTTTTTTTTTATGTGAATGAGAGTTTAATTTTATCAAGTGCTGTTCTGTACCTGTCAAGAAAATCAAATAATTTTTCTATTTTGTTTGATTTTACTTATTGAACTTAATTGGCCTTTGGATATCAATCCAACCCCTTTTAAATTCTGGCAGAAAATGCTATTTGATCCAAATTGCATTATATCTTTTATATATTGCCAAACTCAAGTTTCTCAACATTTGATAAAGGACTGTTGCATCTAAATTCACAAGGGCTAACCCTTTTATGGCAATGTATTTGAGTTACACTGGCACCTTCAATAAGACTGACGGGGGGCAACACTCAGCTCGCCAGCAAATTCCCATTTCATTAATTTAAACAAGGCCGATGAGCAGCAACTAACAAAGCTTTAATGTTAAGTGGCTTTTTAAATTGCTGAGATGAAATTCATGGCAATGTTTCTAAACTTTTGGTCTCTTTTTAAATGCTGGTCCTAAGTTCAACTCACTGAACTGATTTCAAGACCACTGAATTGCTGCCTCGAATTTGAAAGCATTACTGTGAGAGACTGCCAGAGAGAGAAATGGATGACCTCAGAACAGGTGGCAGAAATCAGAAGTGTAGCTGCAGTGGTCACTGGAAGCGAGCTGCATGCTACCAAGCTCTAGGAGGAAAATGTAGGAAGGACACAAGGCCTACCTTGCTTTCACACAAGTGAGATTCCTGCTAGCACTGAGTATTTTAAACCGAACTGACTCTGAGGCCTCAGAGA